TGTCCACTCCACACTGCAGACTGGTAACAGGGCAAGTGTTCAAATAAACTATTGCAGAAAATTGTTCTGAGTGACTGCATATCCATATCCATTAACATACGTGTGAGCATTCGGGTTCGTGGGCTGCATCTTAGCCGTCCGCGCAATTCTCCGCACCCATTTGGCGTGCGCCTTCTTCTCCCCACCCATTTCCAGCCACTCCCTCGCACCCTCGCCGTCCGCAACCGTCCGCGCAATTCTCCCCACCCATTTGCCGTCCGGAGCCGTCCGCGCAGCCAAGCTCGCTCATCACCAGCGGCTTCTTCCCCCGACCCATTTCCAGCCAATCCGTTGCACCCAGCCGTCCGCGCAATTCTCCGCACCCATTTCCCGTCCGCAGCCGTCCTCGCTCATCACCAGCGCGATCCCCACCCATTTCCAGCCACTCCCTTGCACCCACGCCGTCCGCAGCCGTCCACGCAATTCTCCGCACCCATTTCCCGTCCGCAGCCTTCCGCGCAGCCAAGCTCGCTGATCTCCAGCGGCTTCTTCTCCCAACCCATTTCCAGCTACTCCTTGGCACCCACGCCGTCCGCAGCCGTCCACGCTATTCTCCCCACCCATTTGCCGTCCGCAGCCGTCCGCGCAGCCAAGCTCGCTCATCACCAGCGGCTTCTTCTCCCCACCCATTTCCAGCCACGCCGTTGCACCCACGCGTCCGCAGCCGTCCGCGCAGCTCTCCGCACCCATTTCCCGTCCGCAGCCGTCCGCGCAGCCAAGCTCGCTCATCACCAGCGGCTTCTTCTCCCCACCCATTTCCAGCCACTCCCTGGCACCCACACCGTCCGCAGCCGTCCGCGCAGTTCTCCGCAGCCATTTCCCGTCCGCAGCCGTCCGCGCAGCCAAGCTTGCTCATCACCAGCGGCTTCTCCCCTTCCAGCCACTCCGTTGCACCCACGCCGTCCGCAGCCGTCCGCGCAATTCTCCGAACCCATTTCCCGTCCGCAGCCGTCCGCGCAGCCAAGCTCGCTCAATCTCGCTCATCCCCAGTGGCTTCTTCTCCCCACCCATTTCCCACGCCGTCCGCAACCGTCCGCGCAGTTCTCCGCACCCATTTCCCGTCCGCAGCCGTCCGCGCAGCCAAGCTTGCTCATCACCAGCGGCTTCTCCCCACCCATTTCCAGCCACTCCGTTGCACCCACGCCGACCGCAGCCGTCCGCGAAATTCTCCGAACCCATTTCCCGTCCGCAGCCGTCCGCGCAGCCAAGCTCGCTCAATCTCGCTCATCCCCAGCGGCTTCTTCTCCCGACCCATTCCCAGCCACTCCCTTGCACCCATGCCGTCCGCAGCCGTCCGCGCAATTCTCCCCATCCATTTGCCGTCCACAGCCGTCGCGCAGCCAAGCTCGCTCATCCCCAGCGGCTTCTTCTCACCAACCATTTCCAGCCACTCCCTTGCACCCACGCCGTCCGCAGCTGTCAGCGCAATTCTCCACACCCATTTGCCGTCCGCAGCCGTTCGCGCAATTCTCACACCCATTTTCGTCCGCAGCCGTTCGTGCAGCCAAGCTCGCTCATCACCAGCGCCTTCTTCTCCCCACCCATTTCCAGCCACTTCCTTGCACCCACGCCGCCGCAGCCGTCCGCGCAATTCTCCGCACCCATTTCCCGTCCGCAGCCGTCCGCGCAGCCAAGCTCGCTCATCACCAGCGGCTTCTTCTCCCCACCCATTTCCAGCCACTCCCTTGCACCCACGCCGTCCGCAGCCGTCCGCGCAGCCAACCTCGCTCATCACTAGTCACTAGCGGCTTCTTCCCCCCACACATTTCCAGCCGCTCCCTTGCACCCACGCCGTCCGCAGCCGTCCGCGCAATTCTCCGAACCCATTTCCCGTCCGCAGCCCAGCCAAGCTCGCTCATCACCAGCCAGCCACTCCGTTGCACCCACGCCGTCCGCAGCCGTCCGCGCAGTTCTCCGCACCCATTTCCCATCCGCAGCCGTCCGCGCAGCCAAGCTCGCTCATCACCAGCGGCTTCCCCAACCCATTTCCAGCCACTCCGTTGCACCCACGCCGTCCGCCACCGTCCGCGCAGTTCTCCGCACCCATTGCCGTCCGCGCAGCCAAGCTCGCTGATCTCCAGCGGCTTGTATACTCCCCACCCATGTCCAGCCACTCTTTTGCACCCAGGCCGTCCGCAGCCGTCCGCGCAATTCTCCGCAACCATTTCCCGTCCGCAGCCGTCCGCGCAGCCAAGGTCGCTCATCACCAGCGGCTTCTTCTCCCCACCCATTTCCAGCCACTCCGTTGCACCCACGCCGTCCGCAACCGTCCACGCAGTTCTCCGCACCCATTTGCCGGCAGCAGCCGTCCGCGCAGCCAAGCTCGCTCATCACCAGCCGCTTCTTCTCCCCACCCATTTCCAGCCACTCCGTTGCACCCACGCCGTCCGCAGCCATCCGCGCAGTTCTCCGCACCCATTTGCCGTCCGCAGCCGTCCGCGCAGCCAAGGTCGCTCATCACCAGCGGCTTCTTCTCCCCACCCATTTCCAGCCACCCCCTTGCACCCACGCCGTCCGCAGCCGTCCGTGCAGTTCTCCGCGCCCATTTCCCGTCCGCAGCCGTCCGCGCAGCCCAGGTCGCTCATCACCAGCGGCTTCTTCTCCCCACCCATTTCCAGCCACTCCGTTGCACCCACGCCGTCCGCAGCCATCCCGCAGTTCTCCGCACCCATTTGCCGTCCGCAGCCGTCCGCGCAGCCAAGGTCGCTCATCACCAGCGGCTTCTTCTCCCCACCCATTTCCAGCCACCCCCTTGCACCCACGCCGTCCGCAGCCGTCCGCGCAGTTCTCCGCACCCATTTGCCGTCCGTCGCTCATCACCAGCGGCTTCTTCTCCCCACGCATTTCCAGCCACTCCGTTGCACCCACGCCGTCCGCAGCCGTCCACGCAGTTCTCCGCACCCATTTGCCGTCCGCAGCCGTCCGCGCAGCCACGCTCGCTCATCACCAGCGGCTTCTTCTCCCCATCCAATTGCAGCCACAACGTTGCGCTCGCGCCAACCGTCCGCGCACTTCTCCGAACCCATTCCCCGTCCGCAGCCGTCCGCGCAGCCAAGCTCGCTTATCACCAGCGGCTTCTTCTCCCCGCCCATTTCCAGCCATTCCCTTGCACCCAGGCCGTCCGCAGCCGTCCGCTCCATTCCTTTCCCTTCCCTTCCCATCTTTTCCGTTCCTTTCCCATCCTTTCCCTTCCTTTCCCTTCCTTTCCCATCCTTTCCCTTCCTTTCCCTGCCTTCCCTGTCCGTTCCCTTTCTTTGCCAGTTTAGTCCCAAAATATAAACCCTGAAGGGGCCGGCCGGTTCCCAGCCTTCCCTTCCTTTCCTTCTTCCGTCCCTTCCTTTCCCATCCTTTTCCGTTCCTTTCCCATCCTTTCCCTTCCATTCCCTTCCTTTCCCATCCTTTTCCGTTCCTTTCCCATCCTTTCCCTTCCTTTTCCTTCCTTTCCCTTCCTTTCCTTTCCTTTCCCTTCCCTTTTCCTTCCTTTCCCATCCTTTTCCTTCCTTTTCCCATCCTTTCCCTTCCTTTTCCTTCCTTTCCCTTCCTTTCCTTTCCTTTCCCTTCCCTTTTCCTTCCTTTCCCATCCTTTCCCTTCCTTTTCCCTTCCTTTCCCATCCTTTCCCTTTTCCCTTCCTGTCCCTTCCTTTCCCTTCCTTTCCCTTCCTTTCCCTTCCTTTCCCTTCCTTTCCCTTCCTTTCCCTTCCTTTCTCTTCCTTTTTCCTTCCTTTTTCCTTCCTTTCCCTTCCTTTTTCCTTCGTTTCCCTTCCTTTCCCTTCCTTTCCCTTCCTTTCCCTTCCTTTCCCTTCCTTTCCCTTCCTTTCCTTTCCTTTCCCTTCCTTTCCTTTCCTTTCCCTTGCACCCACGCCGTCCGCACACCACCGTTCAAACCAGCTCGCTCCCCCACGCGGTTAAACAACTAAACGAGAACCCAAGCATCGAAGATGCTTTTGGGAAAAAAGAGAGAGAGAGAGAGAGAGAGGAAGACAAGAGAGAGGGAGAGAAGAGAAGACGAGAGAGAGAGGAGAAGAAAGAGAAGATCAGAGAGAGAAGAGAAGAGAGAGAAGAGAAGAGAGAGAAGAGAAGAGAGAGAAGAGAAGAGAAAGAAGAGAAAGAAGAGAAAAGAGAGAAAAGAGAGAAGAAAGAGAGAGAGAGAGAGGGAGAGAGAAAGAAAGACGTAGGATGTGAAGATGTAAGATCATCTGACGTACGATATGAAGATGTAATGAAGACGTATTATCCCAGCTTCTTTTTTTGGAAGATTCATACGCCCAGGCGCTCTCGGAAACAATAGCAGAAGAAACCATTGATTTGGACAAATGATAATAAAAGGGCTAACGCCCGGGTGCCGCCGACCCCCTGTTACAGGGCAAGGTTTTTTTGTGATTGTTGACCTGGCGACGCGCTGAAGCTGCGGCGGGCCATTTCAGGGGTGGGTGAAAGGTGCCATGCAGCAGTTTCGAAATGCTATAATTATAGAAATTGGTTTGGGGAGACCTGGCAACGCGCTGCAGCTGCAGCGGGACATTTCAGAGATGGGTGAAATGTGCCATGCGGCAGTTTCTAAATGCTATAGAAACAGGTTTTGGGAGCGGGCGCGGAGTTTTGTGACCTAGCAACGCGCTGAAGCTGCAGCGAGACATGTCAGGGGTGGGTGAAAAGTGCCATGCGGCAGTTTCGAAATGCTATAGAAATCAGAAACAGATTTCTTGAGCTGGCGCGGAGTTTTGGGACCTGGCAAGCTGCAAGGGCTAATGTTGCACACCTGCAGTGATCCCAGGCGCTGCCAAGGCTAGGCAGGGGTCGGCGGATTAATTAGTCAAGACTGACATTTTGGCAACGGGACAAGTGGTGTTATTTTAGTGTTTGTCATTTATTCGCAATTTAGAATTTACGGTAGAAGACAGGGATTCCTTTGCCTATGCTGTTGCAGATGAAGCACAGGGTCCGAGTCCATCCGCGTCCAAGGTTTTGGCATCCATGTTGAAGCCGATGGATCCACGTATGAAGGCGCTGCAAAAGTTAGATCCGGGGGTTGACGATCCTATTGCCCATGACGTCTAGAGAAGGAGCCCCCACTGCTCCACGCAAAGTCATTGATGAAGATATGACATAATGTGTTTTTTTTAATGGCCACCAATCATTGGCTTCAGATTGCTGTCTTTGTGGCCACCAGGAAAACATAGGAAACAATGGAAGACCTGCTTCTGCTGTGCAAGGCCAGTGGATTGAAGACAAGGCGCACGGCACAGGTCGTTTGGAACACAGCGATGGCGCAACGTACGATGGAAATTGGCGGGGAAGCATGAAGCACCATGGCAGATTTTTTTCCCCCTATGGCCGAGTTTCTAGATTTTGACGAAGGTGCAGCTCCCTCTCCTCCTTCTCCTTCAAAATAGCTTCCAGACAGGATGCCACAAAAAATGAGGTGCCAGGTAGAATGCCAGACTAGATGCCAGATAGAATGCCAAAATTGATGGCACATAGAATGCCAAATAGACTGTCAAAGTAAATGCCCTGCCAGGGCCAGAGAGAGTGCCTGAAAGAACGTCAGAATAGATGCTAGGCAAGATGCCAGAAAGAATGTCAGAAAAAATGTCAGAATACATTTCAGATAGAATGCGAGAATAGATGCCGGACAGAATGCCAAATAGAACTGTCAAAGTAAATGCCAGATAGAATGGCAGAAAGAGCGTCAGAAGGAATGTCGGATTATAAATAAGTAAATAAATGAATGAATAATTATATAGATAAACAGATAAATAAATGCATGCTATAAATATTTCTAGATGATACGTCAGAAACTATACCAAAATAATTTGTCAAGGGAGATCACTCGAAGTAAACTAACTTGGCAGTCCTTGATTTTGAAGCTATGCATGAAACTGACATTGGACGTCAATACCTTGTATTTGCCAATGATTTGTCAGAGAACCTCCGGAAAATTTTTAACCCAAAACCAAGCTGACACAAAATGTGGACAACATGAACTTCCAGGGTTGCTGCTTTAAATGCATCTCAGTTTGTGCAGCTAGACCCTGCTATCAACAGGTTTTTCAAGATCGTCGGAATTGTTGATACCTTTGCTCTTGGGATGCTCGCAATGCTGCGTTTTATGGTTGCGTAGCCACAACGTATGTCGCCTTAATGGGTGAAGGTCAGCAAGAAGGGCCGCTCCTTATAGCACACTTTTTCCCACCATCGATCCTTTGTTCCTCTCAAGGCATGGTCAAGGAACCTATGTACATTCTGATGGATCCAAGCAGCTTGAAAGCATTTGTCGACCACTCGTGGTGGCACTTGTAGATGTTTGTAGAGGGGTTAGATTTTAAATTCTGGAGCATCAGCATTTGAGAATTCACGTGGTAGTTCCTTTCTTTTCGGAGAGGTGATGGTTGGAATTCCTTTTTTACAAACAATTTTCTCCAACAAGTGCAAGTCTTTGCGTCAGTTTATATTGTCCCATTGATGTTTTCTTGGGAGCCCATGTTTTTTTTCCTGTCACACAGCCTTCGGCATTCCACTTTAAAGCTGGTTGGTTTAAAAGGTGGTTTGCGTAAAAGGTGGTTTGTGTAAAAGTTGGGCTGTGCAAGGTCCCCTCATCGTCTGTGCCACTAAACCGCTTTTGGGGCTATAGTTGCTGGAATGATGGTCTTTGAATAGGGGCGCAGATGATGAGGTTGGCTTAAAGTGCCACGCAGGTCGTACAAACCAAGCGTTGCACTGGCTATCGTCTGTGCCCCTAAACCTGCGTTGTGACAAAGGCAAGTTTCACTTTTTGAGGGAAGTCTCGCACGAAAGCTTCGTTTTCACATCTTCAACTTTCACTTTTTGAGGGAAGTCTCGCACAGAAGCCTGGTTTTTCTCAACTTGCTTGAACACGTACATCCCCATAGTGCTGGCTGCTTGCGCCCCAAGCAATTCTTCCTGTGTGGTGCTATGATAGCTCTCCACTAACCCTAAGGGGTCGTACCCCTCAGGAGTATCTTTACATGTGATATTTTTCTTTTATGGTGCCATGGTAGCCCCTACGACGCAGAGGGTCGTACCCCTTTGAAGTACCTTGATATGTCATATTCTTCCTACATGGTGCCATGATTTTTCCCCTCCCCAACTTAAAGGGCCGTAGCCTCTTCATAAAGGATCTTGGGGGTACGGGTGATATTTTTCCTGTGTGGTGCCATGCTAGTTCCCCCCTCCTCAACCTAAAGGGCCGTATCCTCTTCATAAAGGATCATAGGGGTACGGGTGATATTTTTCCTGTGTGGTGCCATGCTAGTTCCCCCCTCCTCAACCTAAAGGGCCGTATCCTCTTCATAAAGGATCGTAGGGGTAGGGGTGATATTTTTCCTGTGTGGTGCCATGTTAGTTCCCACCTCCCCCAACCTAAAGGGCCGTATCCTCTGCATAAAGGATCGTAGGGGTACGGGTGATATTTTTCCTGTGTGGTGCCATGCTAGTTCCCCCCTCCTCAACCTAAAGGGCCGTATCCTCTTCATAAAGGATGGTAGGGGTACGGGTGATATTTTTCCTGTGTGGTGCCATGCTAGTTCCCCCCTCCTCAACCTAAAGGGCCGTATCCTCTTCATAAAGGATCGTAGGGGTAGGGGTGATATTTTTCCTGTGCGGTGCCATGTTAGTTCCCACCTCCCCCAACCTAAAGGGCCGTATCCTCTTCATAAAGGATCGTAGGGGTACGGGTGCTATTTTTCCTGTGTGGTGCCATGCTAGTTCCCCCCTCCTCAACCTAAAGGGCCGTATCCTCTTCATAAAGGATCGTAGGGGTACGGGTGATATTTTTCCCATATGGTGCCATGATAGTTCCCACCTCCTCAACCTAAAGGGTCGTATCCTCTTCGTAAAGGATTTCAGGGGTACAATGTATATTCGTCCAATATGGTGCCATGCTAGTTCCCCCCTCCTCAACCTAAAGGGCCGTATCCTCTTCATAAAGGATCGTAGGGGTACGGGCCTCAACCTAAAGGGTCTTTTCCTCTTCGTAAAGGATTTCAGGTACTAATGACAACGACCCCTTTCGGGGGAAGGGGTTGATGGTACAAATCTAAGTTGGTGTTGATTTTGGTGTTTCTAGGATTCATTCTTGAACATCTAGGAAAACAAAAAGAATGCCATTGATTTCAAGTGATTTCAGACGAACTGGATAGGGCTTACCAGTCGTGACATTGGCTAGCGATTCCTACATCGCTTTTGAAACATATATATATACATACATATATACATATGTATGCTACAAATAAAACATACATACATATATATATATGTATATATATATATATATTTACGTATATATGTATTAGATTTTGTCAGTTTTCAATTTCGCGTTTGTGTTTGTGTCAACTGAAAATTGGGACTCGCAATTTAGTCATGTATTGGGAAAGGACCGTAACAGAGACAAGCAGGCAAACATACTTGAACAGCAATCAGGAGAGCAAGTGAGCAAATCAGTTGAAAAATGATGTTGCATAAAAATATGTATATAGTTGTAGTCGTTAAAGCTGGATAGAGAAAACATGCATAATTATCGTTTGAGTATGCTTTCAAAATTGGTTGATCTGGGTATTTTTTGTGAAAAATATAGAACTAGATAAGCCTAACAAGTTGGATTTTTTGGTGCCTTGATTGCTGACGAAGAGTATTGGCAGTGTTAGCAATAGTAGCAGTAGCAGCAGTAGCAGTAGCAGCAGTAGCAGTACAGTTCCCTTCCAAAGTGATAATATGAGCTTGCAAGGGCCTAGATTGACCATAGTTTATCCTATAGTATTTTACATGGCCTTTGAAGAAAGCGTCTTCTTCTAAATGGTACCAAAAAATGTTTCAGTTCAAATACAGTACAAATCGGATCAGTTCTCCTTTTTGGGAGGCAAGATGCCCTGCAAAAAAACATAGAAAACACAACGTAAAATCCGATTGGATCAACCTGGACCATAGGCTTGGTGGCATATGAGAAGTCGCAATTTTGCATTAACTCGGTGGGTGATAGGTATAACCTGGGTGTCTGTGTAGTTGTGTATGTGTTTTTTCTGTGTGAGAGTACCAAACACAATAATTATATACAAAGGGAGTGAATTGGTTCTACAGGCTCTTATCATATGGTCAGAAGCATGTACACAGGCACATGTGTGGTCATGTTGGTAGTGTGCATTTGGTTGCCCTTACACCTGTTGCTGCACATTCTACTATACATCATATTGATCCCGAAAAAAAAACGCCAACCCTTTGCCAACAGCGTCTTTTTTTGAATGCCTACGTTCTATTCACTTTTTGCCCCAACACCTCCGTTTCTCGAGTAACAACTGATTCATAAGAAAATTATTGGTGAGGACAGGTAACAAATTGTAGTTCCCAGGCAGAAGCAAACAATCTATGTTTGTTCATGCTGGAGCCTGCGTCGCGTACTTCTTGCTTTGAACATTCATAAGTATCATGTTGCTGTCATATTTTTGACAGGGCATGCAAGTTCGTCACCAAAAGTTTGTCAATGGACCTCGATGTTTTGAAAACAATTACCCTTGTGGAGTAAACTTGCAAACGGACGATCAGGTTTGCTCTGCAACTCCTGAGCATTTCGCAACCTATATATACGCTCTGAATAGTTTTCGGTGATTTGAAGTTCATCAATGCATGATCTCGATAGTCGGTGACCCTGAATCTGCTTGTCTAGTGATTTTTTTTATGGGGGTGATGATGATGATCTGACTTTCTTGCTCACGTAAGCAACAGTTTTCAGGGAAAAAACTAAATTGTCGCGGAAAGTCAGCCAGCATTTCTAAAAACGCATTTACAAACTGCCAATGTCATGTTATTTATCTATAGAAGTACAAGTTGGAAGGGGTTTTGAAACAGACCTGTCGAAGCGAGCATTACCCATGTGTGGGAAGCGATTTACGCGAACCCTAGTACTGCTGTGATAGCTTACGTGACCATTCCTACAAATAAAGAACCTCGCTCATGCCTGCGTGGAACCCTACGCGCACAGAAGAGGATTATTTTGGCCATTGTTAAACTGATGTCTCATTAAGCAAAAACACTAAGGAACGCCAAGTACGGTTCTCTTGCTTCAGCGAATCCGGAATTATAGGCATACACTTGGAGTTTACTTGGGAGATGTCATCCGATAAACATTGATGCTCAGCCAAAACTTGTATAAGGTTTGAGTTCAGTTTGTGGATGTCTGGAAAGAAACAACAATTAAAAAAAAACGCTGTAAAAACCAATTTGGGATTATTCATGTCTACTCCTTCAATTCCTTGAGCCTCCCCTGGGAGATGCCCGGAAGAAAGTTGGCTACTGGGCTGCCACTTTCTTCAGGTGATCTGAAATGTTTTTGCATTCCCCCACCTTGCGAAAAATGAATATGGTTCTTATTTGTGATTTCCTGAAAATTTAAATAAGATTTTCATTGGGTTTGCACATATTGGCATGGCAAAACGTATACAAAATGCCTCTGGTGCACCTTATTTTTGGGTGCCATGTTCCCACAAGTGTCACTGTTCATTGGGTTTGCATGGTGTAAAGGTACGCACAATGCATTTTGCGGATTTTTGGTCCCCAAAATTCTCATGGAAACCACAAGCTTCCAACAATTGCCACATGTCTTGGATTATTTGCCATACTGCATTGATATCGCAACGTAACACTGATCTATTAGTTCGTTGGTTTGTCTATAAGTTTTTGATGGTTTACGTATGTCTTAAATTTATTTATTTCTCTCTCTCTCTCTGTTTCGATGCAGTGAGCTGAAACTTTGAAGCAAATTCCACTAAACTAGATCCTCCCACGTAATGTGGGTAGACCCTATATCCAGTACATGTAGACCAAACTTCGCATGTAATTTGTCAGTAGTGTTTAAACCGTCAAGAAAGCGCAGAGGAGACATAGGAGAAGCTAAAAACAATCATCATGCAGGTACATGGTCACAACAATCAACTACCCAGTCTGAACAGATCTCACAAGTTAACCTTTGCCAATTCAACGACTCCGCGGGCGTGTCTTTGAACTCACAAGGATCGTCAATGAATCGACAGTTTCATCGCAAAAAGTTCGTCAATGTTCGTCAATTTTCCAACAAAGTTCGTCAATTTTCCGAAAAGTTAGTTAATAATTGTTAAATAATATTTTTTAAAGTTCATCAATTTTCCAAAAAATGTTCACTTTTTCATGTTTGTCAATGTTCACAAAAGTACGTCAATATTTTTTCAAGTTCGTCAATTTTCGCAAAAGTTCGTCAATATGTTTTTATGT